TGTAGGCAATCTGTAGTGATTCCAGCTTTTTCTTTGAGTAAGAATTTGGTGCAGGAGTGACATAATCCAATTTATATTTCAGAGGATCATGCAGGCAGTGCTGAGAAGTGTCTGAAAAGGGATGTGGAAGCAAGGAGCCTAGTTGGGAGGCTACTGCAACAATCCAGGAGAGAAGCGATGAAGGTTCAAAGATGATAGCAGAGGATCCTAGATGCATTGTGAAGGTAGAGTCAGGATTTGCTGACAACTTGGCTGTTGAGTTTTAAAGAAAGAGAAGAGTCAAGAATGGGGAGTATTTAGAGGAGCAGATACTCAGGGCCATTGCACAAGCTCAGTTTTGGACAGGTTACATTTGAGATACCTATTCAACATTCAAGTGGAGATGTTGGGTGGGCAGTGGATACTTAAATATAAGTTTGGAGTTCAGGGGAGAAGTCTGGTTAGAGATAAACATTTGGGAGTTGGCAGCATGTAAATCATATTTAAAGCTATGAGAGCGCATCATCGTGAGAAGAGACCGTGAGAAAAGACCAAGAACGGAGTCCTGAGACTGTTGTTTAGTGGTTTTACTTGAATTTGGTAGGCAAGCCCTGTTCACCCAGGGATGGAATGCCTGCTTAATCTGGCACTAGTAATTTTGGCTATTTTGGCAGCTTTGGTAACACTTTCTCTTGGGGAGGGATAGATGAGAAGCAGAGAGGGGGTGGTCCATGTTTCTGTTGTCATTATAAGATCTACAATGTGACGTTCTCAGAATATGGGGGCAAGCTTAAGAATTAATAATGATCTGCAGAAGGAACCTGCTTTCAGGGTGTTTTAGCCAATATTGTTCTGGCTGCAAGTGATAGAAACTTCAAGCTTGCTTAAATTGCATGGAGAATAAAGACATTGCATGCTGTATAGAACTGAAAAACAGGAGGGGAGAAGGGCCTCAAAAGCAAATCGGCCTGAGGAGGCTCTGTGGTGGTTTTTTTCTCTCTCTCCACCTCCATCTCTGCTCCTTTCTGCATGTGTGCCTGACCCTTTTCTCTGCAGACTGGCTTTCTCCATCTCTCTCTGGCTTCAGGCCCAATGTAGCATAGCTGCCCGCTCCGCACTCTAGCAGCCAGATCACATGTCCCTGCCTCACAGAGGCTGATTTGCATTCTTTCTCAGTGTCAGGGGACAGAATGATGAGTTCATTTTGGGTCTTGTGTCTCTCCCTGACCCAGTTCTCTATGGTGGTGGTGGGAGAACGTCTCACTGTCCAACTTCAGCTACAGATGCCAAATCGTGTGGGTGAGAGGCAGGTCCAATAGGACAGCGATCAGGTGAGCAGGACAGACCCCCAAAAGATGACCACTGCTGAGAGTGTGATGTATTCTCTGTAGAGAAGTGGCCACCAGCTAAATCGAATCTAATGACTGGATTGTTTCTCAGACTAATCCAAGTGTCTGTCTTAGGTTTGCCTTCGCTGAACTGGGCTATAAAGTTATATCCTTGGCTTTTATTGAAGATCTCTGTTAAACACAGATACATGAGCGTCACCTCTGCTCTTATGATCAAATAGTGGTGAGAACATTGTCTACTATATTACTTGATGTTCCTATATAATGCTTTACATTTTTGTTGCAGAAGAGTTATTTCTCTAAGGAATAACAAGCATGTTTTTTGGAATGAGGGCTTTAAAACTTGTTAGGTTGCCCTTGTGCGTAGCCTCAAGGCTACGCATTAACTGTGCAGTTAGCAAGATTATAGAACAATCAGAAGGGAAATAGCCAAAGGATAGCATATATCTACCTGGTGAGGGATCTCAAACTCAGATGCCTGTAGTGTCCAGGCAGTTAACTAAGGTGATCTGGGTAAGCTTAAGACAGTACGTGCCAACTCTTTCTATTGAGTTTGTAATTTAGCTGCCTAGTTACATTGCCTTTTAAAACACTAGGCTGGCCAAACAAAACAGCCAAGTATAATAGAATACAGCCTGCCAATTGTCAGACCTTGGAGTCTCACACAGCTTGCTGGTCTTAAGCTCCTCAGTGTGGGGTCCCTACATAGGATAGTTGCCTTCCTAAACCTAGCTTGTCCTCCCCAGTGGGACAGGGCCTTCCTCCCCCATTTGGTAGTGCCAGGGCCCATCCAGACTTCATGTCCAGAAACATGTGACTTTTCTTTCCTGCCTATGGCCGACTCCTGTGTTCCTGTTTCTTACTGATGCCCTACTTCTTCTAAAAAATGTCTGCCTCTTGCAGGGGACACCTTGATCCTGACCCACAGGAGTGCAACCAGCTATATACTTTGTACGGTAGTCCTGTCAGGATGCATTAAGGGAACCCAGCATCATGACAAGGATGCACACACTGTTGTTTTGAAGAGGAGGTGCTTTCTACAGGTCATGCTTGGGTTCTACTTTGAAAATGGAGAGGAGGTGTCCTTGAGAGCAGACCCAAGTGTTTTCAGTTTTAGAAAAGTGTCTCTCAGGTGACAGGTTGATATGTGAGCCTCTTGATTTTGCAACAGTATCTTATAAATTTGGTCAGTGGGAGTTAAGCCCCCTGTGCCAAGTCAGCTAATTGAGTTCAAGGCTAAGGAGACGGTCCCCAACCTCCACAGGTGCTCTGCCCTTCTCCTTCATCACCCACCTCCCACGACCATTTGTTTCTAAACCAGAAGGCGAGTGAGTGGCCTTTCAAGTTCGAGAACTTAATATTTGCAGAGAATAAAGCCCAGCACGAGGCATTAAGATGGAAAACAACCCTGAAGAGTGTGTGGGAACCCCACTGCCTATATAGCATTGTGTTTGGAGTAAAAAGAGCAACATATTTAAGAAACTTAAAAAAGAAGAAGAAAAAGAGATTTACAATTCTACCATTCCGCATAAGAGACTGCCTTGTGAGTAATGCATTATTCAAGGGGCTGCGCTTTTATGCACTTTAAACTATTTTGGCTCCAGCACTTCTAGATATTGCTGATTCCATGGAAAATAAAATTGAAAGCAGCCCTCTATTTGGAGATAACATTGAAGCATTCTCTGCCACAGGCATTTAGTAGAAGGAATAGAAAGGGCTTTAATTATAGACAACTGGGTTTGAAATCACGCAGTGGTGGTGATCTCAGTCTCCAGTCCTGGCCAGAGGAGGTGGAGATGTGTCTGATCAGCCAGATGGTCAGTGGTTGGCTGGGTTGAAGGACACCCAGGTAAAGAATCTGAGTGTGGCATGGGCCTGCGCCTTCTATGAAGGGCCAGTGGTGGGGGGTGGGCTGCGAGCATACAGCTCATCCCCACTCAGCAGAGACTCGGAGTGCCTTTTTGTGTCAGGTTTCTTCTAGGCATGGGGGGATTCAGTGGTGAGCAAGATGGACAATGTACTTGGCTTCACCAAGCTTATGATCTAGAAGGGGAAGATAAAGTAATGAAATTATAATTTTGGATTATTATAAATGATAAATGATCATTATTATAAACGATAATTTTGGAAGAGTGATCTTATAGAAAGCAACCTCCGTGTGTTGCATGGGGGGTTGGGGACAGCCTCTGTGAAGTCTAAAGGGTCAGAAGGACTCAGCCATCTAGAGCAAGGAAAAGCAAGGGCTCGGGCCCTGAGTCAGGATAGAGCTGGGCATACACGAGAAACGTTCAGGTCTGTGTGGCTACAGTGCAGCGAGCTCAGGGGAGGTGGTGCCAGACAAGCTTAGGAAGAGAGGCAGAGGCTGCTCCGACAGGCATGGAAAGGAGGCTTTTAGGCAATGAGGCCACCTAACCTGGCTGGTATTATAAAGATCTTTCTGGCTGCTGTGCAGACCGTGGAGTATAGCAAGTAGGGACAGGAGTGGAAGCAGGAGCCTGTGAGATCCCTATTTGTTTTCCTTTCCTGAGCATTAAACAGATTAAATCTCCACCTGCTTACTGCAGTGAGGTTGCAGTGTTTGCCTAGTTAATGAACTTATTGCAGATGTATCAGCCCAACCAGCTGGTTATCAGTTAGATCTGGGTGACAGCAAAGGGCAGGGGAGGAGCTCCCTCCCAGGCAGAACCTGTGCTAATAACAGTATAACCAGCCACAGGCAGGTGTGCAGAGGAGAGGCTGGGACTGTTCACCAGGAAAAGAGCAACATCTCCTCTGGCTGTGGTTGCCTTGCTCAACCCCCTCCCAGGCTCCTCTTCCTTCTCTTAGGCCAGGAGGAATCATCATAACAGAATTAACCAGAACAAGAAGGCAACAAACGCACACACTGAATCAACAGTTAATAATGCACAAGTAGTCATGGTGCTGAGTAGCCTTTAGGTGACGCCAAGTGATGCATGGCCTTGTTGTAATGAGGTTGATATAACCTTGAAAGGGGGTGGTGGGGTGGTGGGAGAGACTGTGTGTGTGTAGGTTGATTAAAGCATGTCTCATTTTATAGCTCAACTCTCCATGCTATAATGAGTTACTGATGAATTCCACCTCAGAGCCAGACCCTATGTTTGGTGGGGCTAGGGAGAGACGTGTAGAGCTGAGTCAAATGGTGCCTGGTACAGGGCGATAAAAGCTGCCTGCAGAGGCATGTGGGCAAATTGAGAATGAAGGCTGAGGTCCTGGGTCACTACAGATTGATGATTTGCTGAATATGGGGAACACAGACAAGAGGATGAGGTTCACAGAATTGGAATCCCAGAGAGGGTAGGTCCCCGAGTCCCCCAGTGGTTGCTACACCACCTGGCTTGAGGATTACTGGTCTGGCCCAACCTCCTCATGCTACAAATGGGTGATTACTTGTCCAGGGTTGCCCACTGAGTTGGTGGCACAGCCACAGCCAGAAACCAGGTTTCTAGACATCTCAGCCTCCTGACCCTTTCCATCACATAAGGCTGCAGCTTGAGCGGAAGCTGCAAGAGGGGACTGCCTGGTGCAATGGATGGTCATGGGTCAATCAGACAGAACCCAGTTTGACTTTCACAACCTGGAATTAAAATGGCCACTCCTGCCTAAACCCCTGAAGGCAACAAGGCAATGCTGAGGTTGCATTTTGTGTTTCAGGACCTGCCAGGAAGAAGCCGACCCTCTTATCCCTTGTGGCCACAATGCTGACTGCCCGCCTCTTCAGACCCCTGTCACAGCTCCCGGGGAAAACTCTGAGTTTCTCTGATAGAGAAAATGGAACGAGGTAAGAAACTGAAGGGTAGAGGTGGCCTTGAAGGTTGTACTGTCTGGGAAAAACATCTCCCTCACACACTGATCATGCAGGTGGTAACAGGTCTGACTCTCAAAGATGTCTCTCAGTCGCTGCATCTACCAGTGAAGGAAACTTAAAGGTTTCCTCAGAAGACTGAGACCTCCCAGAGCACACAGAGCACAGAAGAATATCTTTCATCAGACATTTTTTTAACTTTTTATTTTGAAATAACTATACTTTATACAAAAGTTGCAAAAATAGGGCCGGCCGAGTGGCACGTTGGTTAAGAGCTGGCTTGGGATGCCAGAGGGCCCCGGTTCGGATCCCACATATGAGGGCCAGTGACACTGCCCTCCACAGCTAAGATGCTGAACAACAGCTCGACCTGGAGCTGGGATGCCATGAGTCTCTGGCGACGGCATAGGCTGCAGCCCCTGTGACAGTGGGTTGCCATGGGCTACCATATGTAGCCAGCAGCCAGCGTGAGCGGCCAGCAACCTGTGAGCGGTCGTCCAGAAGCCGGCGACTGATCTGTCTCACCCGGGAAGAGCGCAATGATGGCGCCAACTTGGGCCAGTGAAGCAACGTCCTCCACAACTAGACTGAAGAACAAAACAACAGCAACTTGTCTGTTCCCCTTCCCCCGATTACGCAGCGCTGTTCCCATCCCCCCAATTCCCCAATAAAAAATTTTAAAAAGTTGCAAAAATAAGACATCGGTTCCTGTATCCTCTTAATCATTTAACTTCCTCGAATGTTACCATCTTACAAAACCATAGTGCAATCATGAAAACCAGGAAATTGCCACTGATATAATGCTATTAACTAACCTACACACCTGATTCAAATTTTGCCAAATGGCCCACTAACGGACCTTTTCCTGGTCCAGGATACAACTCAGGGTCCCACAGTGCATTTAGTTGTCATGTGTCCTTACTCTCTTCCTATTGGGGGCAGTTCCTGAGTCTCTTGTTTTTGATCATGACACTTTGGAAGAATGTCCTTCGTCTGGGTTTGTGTGAGGTACCCATGTTTAGATTCAGGTATGCACGTTTGCAAGAATGCCACCCAAGAGAGATGGCGCACTGTCAATGCATCACCTCAGGAGGCACAGGATAAGATGTTGATGTGTCTGATTACTTTGATCACCTGGATTATTGCTCTTTTCAAACCTTGCACATGAAACCAGTTAACTGAAATATCCTGAGCCTTCACTGAACTGCTTGTGTGACTTAGAGAAAGCATTAAGTACAAATTAAACAAGCAGCTCTTCTTCCTTGACAGCTTCCAGGATTGCCTTTTCCAAAGGGAAGTCAGTGTGTTCTGCTACCTCATTTTCCTCTCTTGCAGCCAGAGCAAGGAAAAAATAATACCTTTTTCTTTTATATTTGAGAGGAGTGAAATTAAGTGTCAGGTAAAATTCAAAGACCCAGTAGCTAGAAAATTGATGCGTGTTTTCTGAGCCAGTAAATATGTTCAGAAGAACATACATTTAGGCTTTCAGCAGCATTTGCTTAAAAGCATTTCCATGGGATACAGCAGCTTGGTTAGAAGTGGGGCTTCAACTACCAGAGGACACCATATAAGAAGCATTAAAATGGCCCTTCCAGCAGAGGGGACATTTAATCGAAGAGGGAATGGAGCCTGGCTCTATTGAAAGCCTTTTGAAGGTGATTTACTGCAATTTTTTTTCTCTCAGCGAGTGATTCATAGAAATTGTGAAATCTGTCTTAAATGTGGTTTTTAGAAATTTCTGGATATTATTTTCTATAGAGGAGAAATAATCCCAAAGGAAGTTAAGTACTTTTACAAAGGTTTTTATCCTGAAATTAAAGGGAAGTGAGGCATTAGTCAAGCCTCTGGCTCATTAGAGGGGGGGAAAAAGGGCTGTCATGAGGAGATTCTGACTCTTCTGAAATGATTGTGGAAATTACCTGGTTAGGCTGAGGAGGCTGGGGACAGGGTGGTCAGGGACAGAGCTGGGTTAAAGTGCTTTAGCTATCCTCAGGGCAAAGGTGCCAGCAGAAGTCTGGGAGGGAGACCCACTTGTGTGAGGAGATGGAAGGAGGGTGACCACTGTGCTTGGATCAGACAGGAGATTTTTGGGTGGGGAAAAACTTTGGTCTGATCATTTTGCATGAATCTCAGTTGGAAAGGGCCTCATACTCCTTTCCCCACCTGTGGGTGGATCCTGTGATAGCATCCTTAGCAAGTGACCTTACAGCTTTTATTTGAATGTCTCCAGCCATGGTGTGGTCAGTACCTCTCACAGCAGATCCTGTCTTTAGATGATGCTATTATAAAGTCTTCATATCGAGCAGAAATCTTTTCTCCTCTAAATCCCACCCCTTGTTCCTGGGTCTGCCTTCTGTATTCACACTGAAGAAGTTTATATCTTATCCCTAGGGACACTGTGCCACTCCAGTACCCCTCCCCTGACGTCTCATTTCATCTTCATGCTTTTCATTGCTCATCTCCCCTGGTTTCCCCACTCAGCATCCAGGTCTCCCACTCGCATGATGTCCATTTGGTCTGTGCTCCTTCTTGAGATGTGGTGCCCCGGACAGAACAACGCCCATGTGTACCTGCCTCAGAGCAGCAGTCACCCAGTACGTGGCATCTGTTCAGATGAAAACCTCCCCAGTAGTGGCTGACACCTGCCCTGCCCTGACACTTGACAACCTGTGCTTTACTGACTCTGCACAGCCCTCAGATTTTAGATACAACTTAGCAATATAAAGGAACAAATTATTGATACATGGAACAAACTGGATGAATTTCCAGAAAATGATGTTGAGGGGGAAAAAGCAATCCCCAAATTCCATTTATATAACATTCTTTTTTTTTTTTCTAAAGATTTTATTGGGGAATTGGGGGAGGGGAACAGTGTTGGGGAATTGGGGAAGGGGAACAGTGTTGGGGAATTGGGGGAGGGGAACAGCCAAGTTGTTGTCCTTTAATTTTAGTTGTGGAGGGCACAGCAAGCTCAGCTCCAGTTGCTGTGTTCAATTAGTTGCAGGTGGGCATAGCCACCATCCCATTCGGGAGTTGAACTAGCAGCCTTATTGTTAAGAGTGCACACTCTATCCCCTGAGCCACCCAGGTGGCAACTCAGCTCAAGATGCCAAGTTCAGTCTTAGTTGTGGGCGGGCATAGCCCACCATCGAACAGGCAGCCTTGTTAGGAGCATGTGCTGTCACCAGCTGAGCCATCCTGCCACCTGTTGGCAGCTCAGTGGCAGCTCAGCTCAGGGCACAGCTCACTGGCCCATGTGGGAATCCAACTGGCAACCTTGTTGCTCAGAGCTCGCACTCTTGGGCAAGCTCTTAACCAAGAGAGCCACTTGGCCAGCCCTATATACCATTCTTGAAATGACAAAATTATAGAAATGGAGAACAGATTAGTAGTTAAAGAGGATGTGGGGAGGAAGGGAAGTGGGTGAGACTCTAAAAGGATAACATGTGAGGGATCCCTGTGGTGGTGGAAATGCTCTGTATTTTATCCTGGTTATGATATTGTACTACAGTTTTGCAAGATAACATTAGGGGAAGTTGGGTAAAAGGTACAGGGCATCTCTCTGTGTTATTTCTTTTTCTTTTTTTCCTGCTGCAACGTGTTTATTATGTGCCAAAAAAACTACACCACAGCTTACTCTACACATCTGTAGGAGAGTGCAGTCTTGCCTGCATATACTACAATGAGGTAGAGACTTCACACACAGCTTCACAAAACCCACAGAGTAGCTGGGATATGCAACAATGCAACATCAGCTCAGCGGG